AGCAACGGGTTTTATGAGTATTCTGATCTAAATACTGTTTGTTCTACTATGAGAGACTATGCGAGCAAGCGTTAACAACATCTGCTACTTATTGATAATGTAGACTATTAGTGATGGGACAATTTCAGGTTCATGAACAGCAGGGACAAATCTGTTGTAATCTGAACCCATATTGAAAGCATTAATACCGATTCAAAGGTGTTATAATCATTTCAATAGAGATGCATTGACAGAATTTCGAATTGGTCAGTTTCATGTTGATATCGAAATTTTAATGTATATATCGTCATTAATAGAATAACTAACAATATCGTTTGACACATGTGTCCAGTTTGACTTGTGTACACCTTCATTTGAGGAGTATTGATTACATATCACTGATGGCCAGCATAATTTGTGGAAACCAATGAAGAACCACCATTGCTTAGGGTCAACATGTGTACAATGTTTGATTAAGTCGTTCGCGTATGCCATTCGATTTTCAGCAAGCTGACGTCATGTACGCACAGTCAGAAAGTGACAAAGTCAATGGTTCACCAATAATGAATATGACATGCTGACTATCTTGTTAACGAAAATGTCTAGTTGAAATCATACATGCTCAGTTCACATATACTCGGCCATCTCGGATACGGCAACGATGACGTGCACACAGTCGATCCAAGGCAATGTATTTGGATTAGGGCAGCGTAATAATACATGCTTATGAGAACCCACTCACAAACAACTCCACATAAACAAATACAAAAGGGTTACCAATCAATAAACTTCAAATCTGACTAAAGTTGACCGTTTTAAAAAAGTGGATAGTCTGTCCCTTGTTGATCAGTCTCAAGGTACCACTGTAGATCAGCACCAAGTGTGCGTTGCACAAATGTCATTCCTGACCAGTGAGTTTGAACGCACAGTGAATCCGGTGTTTTCAGTTGGGCAAGTTCAATCTGTTGAGAGTTTATGTCAAAATTTGAATCAACAAGTGAACCAACTTAATGCGGATGTATCGTCTGTTCGTTTATCGAATAAAACGATACGGGTTTGCAAAGAAGAACTTCTGCTATTCAAACTCCCACGTCAGATCGGACATATTCTGTTTTGAAAGATTTCACTTCACACTAGTCATCTGAGCAGAGAAGAGAAACGTCATTTGTGGTTCGTTACAAATACCCCTAAAACCTGCGATTGTCAACTGCCTGGCCCAAATATTTCACCAGCAACAACTTCAAAGCACGAAGACTAACAATCCATAATCTGACAGAGTGTATTCATTAGAAGGTGCGCTTCAGTTCGCACAAATACTGCTTCCGTCCTAGTATTGTTGTCAGTATTTATCTCATTGTAACTAAAGCGACCATCAACAGTTTCCGCTTAAATTATGTGCTAACTTTCCCTTTGAAATTTAACATCATACTTTCCAATTTTTAGGTACACTTTCTTCGCCGACTGGAAACAACGATACATGCGTACCCCTGGGAGGGCATTGCCGAAAGGTATTCTGGCGTCCACGCTGTTGTGGGACAACCGTTTGCCATTTGACGAATCCGCTTTTTGGTCATTGTGAACTGTGCATTCCAAAAGGCGGATTTTGCTTACGGTCAAGCGATTGTTGCGATCGTTCATGCTGGTTTTTCACGTGCGGATAAATTAATGGAGGAAAAATACAAACATGATTGCCATGTTGCTTGTTAAATATATCACTGAATATCAAACTTTCATGATTACAAAATAACAACACCGGGTTTATCATACAAATATCTAAACCTCGTAAAAGCCCATGGTAACTGACATAGTTTTGTTCATCACATTTCCTACACTGCAAAAGCTGAACAGCCACAAGTTATCGTAGTATTTACTGTGTGGCAGTTTTCCCTCCAGGTTCACTATAAGATACTACGCAAACCAAACGGCGTATGACAGACAAGAGTGCATTTTTGAATACAAACATACTTCCGTCGGATGGTTCTATCGAGACCAATAACTAGACAGTAGGCATGAATGTTGTAACTTCTCCTCATCCAAACAGTCGTTAGTAAACTTCACAGGTTGCGTTCCGTGTGGTTCAATTAAATATGAATTATGTTCTGTCAACGAGGGCAAAAGACTTTGATGAACCAAATTCTGCACACACTTGCAAAACGATGTCGATAACTGTTGATAAATGCAAACGTGAGAAAATGAAATTTTAGCATGTATTTCAATTAACCATGCGCGCAGAATTGATCATCTTCAGAACCACCTAGCCGATTGTATAAGCTTGTTAACGCTTAGACGTTGAATACTCAGACCTAGTCACATCAACGTTGTTTTGATATTTCTACAAACTAAACAGAAAGAGGTGGAAGAGAAGAAATGGTCTTTCGTCTATTTAGCATTTTGGTCCAAATTGTTGAAAGAAATCAAGTGGTAGCCATTTATTTGGATTTCAGGTAATTTGCATCAAGTGAATTTATATTGCACCGTTCGACGGGTGAATATGTGAGATATGACAGCTTCCTAATCCAATAAACAACTTTCCCAGAGTCTGTGATGTGAAAAATACGTGACTGTCTCTACAAATATAACGCCGTTGGTGTTGTTGTTGTTGTTAATTATGAAGTATCATGTTTTGGAAGGATTCTGTCAGGTTATGGTCGTGCTTCTGTTTTGTTCTAGTAT